CAGCTCCCTTGGGAGAGTGACGGGTCACTCTCATGTAAACCCGTTACAGTATGCGTCATTTTCGTTGAAGGTAGAACAAGAGCAACATTTATCGCTAGATGATTGCGTCGTCATGAAACCGGCCACGCTCCAGATAGAGGGACATGCTGCGCTAGCTGGCCTGCTTGTCGCTTTAGCCGGTTCAAAAGCGAGGAGACCGCGCACAAGAATGAGCCTTAATTGTAGTACATATGTAGAAATGCAGTTTACCATGGAATATGTAGCAGGGAAAGAACTGTGGTATTGTGTACACACAACTTTGACTTTTGTACAATTGCGCAGAACACAATATTGTACACTTGTACGAAGAACTACTGGTTGTAATTTTATAGATCAATAGGCAGCTAAGTATCGGTATATATTGAGACGATGGGCCATCGTAAAGAAGAAGTCTAGCCGCACGTCGGAAAATGGGGGCGATTCTTTTATAAGATGTGCAAACGTATACATTATCTTTCATCTGGCCGAATAGGATTAAGCTAAAAATTGTATGTGGCTCATGAAATAGCAGAGTAACTAAAGACTTTGTTAACTGAAAGGCTCTTGGTCTCGCTCCTGAGTAGTGGGTATGAGCCCAAGCTATCAAAGCTTCTCAACGCGGCGTCGTTGGGTCAAAGCTTTCTCTGTGCAAAGCGCAGAAGGTTTGTGCTTTGTAGCAGGAATTGTAAATTTACGTTTAACTTCGACGACAGAGTCGTGATATGTTTTCTTTGTGATAATGAAACACGAGATACTCGAGTAGTCAAAACCTTTCTCTATCGATGGTTCCGATAACATTCAAGAGCTGGTGACCGAAAAAGCAGGTGCAGTAACCACCAGCCAGATTAATGAACACGACCTCAAGGAGCGCTTTCTATGTTAGAGCAGATATCAACAACTAAGAGGCGGCTGATTGTGAATTCCTAGCATGGAAAAACGCTGCCTCAGGTTACTTCGCCTATGCTCCAAACTGAGCAACAGTGTGTCGCGCTTGCGGACTCCAAGATTGAAATTTGATCGAATGAACGGGCGCGACGAGCTGAAAATCTGAGAAAGAGTCATGTAAAACAAGGAGAGAATCGAGGCGACATATGTCAGACACGCTTTCAGGCGCGGTAACAGAAATTTCCTTCATGGAGAGTCGCCGAACAGGAGCTACCCGCACCGAGACAATCGAGCTCATCCTTCGTCCTCGAACTCTCAGTGGGTTTAGCATCGGTGCTTCAATGCTACCAGGGACGGAGGAGATGCTGGAAGTGATTGCTCGATGAGAGCGCATAATATGATGAGCCTATCCCACGCTAAAAAGAAGAATATAAACATCTTGGCTGCCGAAAAGCTGCGCGCTACCCGCAGATGTTAAAACAAATGTGGCAATACAAATCATCTTGCCGTGACACTCGACTGTGGCTGACACCACGCTGGGCCATGTATTTAACCCCTCGCAGAGACGAATTCTCGAAGACGTTGGGCGGTCTATTGAGAAAAATTGGTCTCTGTTATACCTTGTAGAGAGGTCAAAGGTAATGGCACCGAGCAATCAAAAGAACATTTTCGTTAAGATATGCTAGGAAATTATGTGCGTTGCTAAAATCGGCGTTTCGGTTTTGTGAAGCTATGAGAAGTCCTGGTAAACTGGTAGTCGCCTTGAGATTACGTATCCCGCGCGACTTTCGAGAGCAAATGGCAGTTTCCAGAGTTATAGAGAATTTCAGATATGGATGCAATATCCGTGCGTCTTTCTCTGGGGACACCAGTGAAATGTGTCGAGTGAAATGTTGAAACTTTCTGTGACAGCACGAATCGTTGCCTTGTTTTTCACTGGCATTTGAGATATGCTCACTATCAAGTTATAATATCTTGATCCAATTGAAGAATGGATTGGCTGGAGCGAAAATACTTTGGTGTCACAGACTTCGCTATTGATAAAGTTCTGACGGATTGTACACCCACCCCTACCAAGAATTAGTGCGCGGACACAAAGCCTTTAAAGTTTCAGATTATAACATAAGTTCGGCGAATCGTCTTGCAAATTTTCTTGTCAAAGCTTGGAGGTCGAAAGTGGCACTGATTTTCAATCTCAAAGTGAGACAGCGATAAGTGATTGAATATCGCGGTCCTTAGAGTGTATCACTTGGCAACAGGATTGCATCACGGAGTGTGGTGATTTCCACAATTTTTTTTTTGATCTCATGATGAAACCGGAAAAGATTCGTTGCCAGACTTAAATATCGCTGACGCATTAAACGCTTATTGCAACGTGACCAGCCTGCTTGAGATTCTCTGCATTGTCAGGGAATTAGCTGTCTCTCATGAGCAATACCACATCAAATACAAGTTGTAGGCACTGCACAAGTAGCTGTCGGCCATGCATTTCGACAACACAAACTTTTCAAAATCGATTATTCCAAATCGCGACTGCATGCTTATCATTAGCATGCTCGATTCTCCACTTGACGCTAGCATTTCCAATACCGAACGTCGGTGCCAAGTTGGGAGATGTACGCTCTTATACCAAATTTGCTACTGCTTACGCCGATGAAAGTGTCAATGGCGTCGTAAAAAGTACGCGGTAACTGCCATTGTTCTGTGACGTAATATCGATTCGTAGTTATCATGTCAATTTTTAACGCGCTTTTTTATCCGGGGCAACATGCGAGGTGTCTTTTGTATCGTCCTTACCTACATCTTCTAAAAATAACTTCTCCAGCTAGAAAAGAGCTTTTATCAATCGCATTTAAGTAAGGTATACAACCGTTATAAAAGTACGCTTACTTTGCTCACTAGTGAACAGCTCCACTGCTCAGTACGGTAAGAGCTCCAAACGGTGGTGCTGACTCAGTAATAGCTTGACATCGTGACACGAAACCATTATCCTTTTGAGGATTCATATCTTTAACCTGTTAATTCTTAATAAGATAATGTCAGGCTACTACTGAGACAGCTGCCTTAAATTTTTGCAGGCGTTGGTCCGGAAAAATAAGCGTGAACCATCCTCAATTTATTGCAGCGACATATTTTTGTTTTGAGCACGGAACATCGGAAGTGGAGAAAAAGCGCGTTGAACACTCGCAAGCAAAGCTGATGTATGGGTCTGAATCAGTCGTTTGCCAAGCGCCTTCGGGGCGGAAAAAACTCTTTTTGGGTTGCTTCATTAGAAAAAACAATCTATGGCCAGAACTTTTCAAGATATAGAGTGTATAGATGTACCCGTTCCCTACCCCAGAAATATTTGTGGAAGAGCTTGGTTCGGCAAACTACTTACAAAATATGGTTCAAATTATGCCGACATGGCACGACCCCTCATCAATCGTCTTGAAAAAGATGTCAGGTAAGAAATTGTGCTGATTCGCGACAAAAATAGCCACTCTCATGGCTTTATAACAAGCCTGTTGCGAGTCCTTATCCTGAAATTTCCCGAATGTGGATCGGTAATGTCATCTCGTCTGTGATGCTGTCGTCTTTGCTAATGGCTGTCTTTTACTCCAAAGAGATGCCGATGAGCATCGAATGCGAGGTCGCATTTAAGTCTTGCTAGATTAAAAGAGCGGAGCAAATCTTCCCTGCTCAGGAAAGAAGCTGCTTCTAGTAATTTATACCCTCTTCAAGTTTGGAATGCTCCTGCTTGGCCTTAACCTGTTTGTGATATGTACAGCTTGCGCGTTGTTGCGCACAGCGCGTCGTCATCATATTTCGCACCGATAACGGCAAGAAAATTTCAATTTACTCTTTTTTGCCAAGTATTTAAGTATACTTTGAAGGTTGGCTTAATGTGGTGTCGAATTTACCGGTGCGTTACCCCTACTGTGACACGTCATATATCACGATTGTGACGTGCGAATTGGTAAAATGATACGTAGAGTACACAGACAAACAAAATATTTTTCTAAAAGCTTTGGAAAACAAAGAATCCTCGGGTCCATTCGCCCCTTGATCCAGTGCTTAGCTGTGTAAACGCGTCCTTCTGTTGTATTAAATACTGAATTTTTATCACTTAACGTGTAGTGTGCCTCATGATGAGGACCCTCAGGTACACTGGTCATTTCGGAGAAGAAAATACACATTGCACCGTGAGCACGATGTGATGGTGAATCAACATGTCCTAGCAATTAATCTCATATGTGCACACATGTATCATCACTGTCATACCTAGTCGCATGAGGCGGTACCTTTGGCCAGCACGGATGATGCGTCCTTCCAAACCGTTACTGTGGTATTTTCTTACAGTCTGAGCAAGACGGTCTATCTCATTGCTATCTGCAACAGTGTGACCAGTGAGATTGCAGCCAAACTGTTCGTCAACAAAGTATTCAGTGGCCATTACATCGGACAGGAATTCGTGCTTTGCAGCAGGATTGTGACAGACATTGTCTAACGCTTGGCGCCAATTTTGGTAATGTCGACCGCTGGCTGTTTGAAATATCGATAGTCAGACGGGCACGTGAACCGCCTTGTGGAGGATTTCATCCAAGGCACTTGTGTCGAATGGTCACGGTGAGAAATATTTTGCTAACAATATTTGAGTTTGCGATAAAAAATGCAGTACACCAGATTCCTTCTATTTCTATGAATGTGGTAAAACCCCAGATGTCTTTAACACCACCACAATTTTCTGGTACTTTCCTGAAAGAGAGGCTGTCGATCAAAATCGACTTGCTCACATCCCTCGTCGCAGTATCAGCGTTTGTACATGCAGAATATTGATAGTCGTGCTCAGGGTGTGTGACACTGTGGTCAAAAGCCAGGATTAAAACAAAGATCGAAGCCATAGGCCAGTTGAACACACAAGCAAATGTTGTGAGCAACATTTGTATTGATTACAAAATGCTACCGACCGATGCAGTGTCTGTGATCTATAACACGAGGTTGCGGTCACGCTGCTTCGGACAGCTCATGGTCAAAGCAAAGAATGATTGATTATACTCTGATCATCTCGTGAAAGCAAGCATCTTGTTTTTTACGTGGCTCAAACTTATACCACAACCCCGCTCTTACGACTCAGTCGGATGTGAAGAGCTCTGCGCAGATAGATTCACGTTTCCATCTATCCCCTGTAGCCGGGCTACTCTCTGCTCGAGTGCAACGCCTGCACTCTGGGTGTATGCCGTGTAATGGTATAGCTCAGAGAGCTTATATGAGATCTGCCGATCTTAATACTGAACGCGCGTTGAAACTTTTGTAGAAAGTCGACGGGGCTCCACAGCCAAGGAAGCTTGAGAATGGTAACCACGGAAGCGTCGGCCTTTGCTCTTCCTGCTTGACCAGTCACGTGAAACGTTAAGTAACCCAGAGCGATACACCAGGACTATTATCAGTTTTAAATAAAGTAAAAGATAGGCACTTCATGAAAATATTATTATCCATTTAGGCGAGATTGTCTCGGTGTCCTTGCCGCTTCAAAACTGGCGCAGCCTCTGCTCTCCTTTTACTCTACTTTTAGAAAAGGCAGGGACATCCAACAGCAGCGATTCCCATATGTGAGATAGGATCAATTTTGTAGTAAGTGTGATACTTGGTCATAGCTGAAACGGCTGATTGGTGAAGAGGAGCGGGGATTGTTAACGATAAGAACTAAAGTGGTGATGCACTTTCACCGCAACACCCACTTCGTGCTTCGTGCTTCGTAGTTTACAAAGTCAAACGATAAAAGACGTTCTAGCCAGACATCCGCTTTGCTAAGACCATGCAAAGACTAAAACGAATAAGACGTCGCGCTCTGAAACCCCGTGTGCGAACTGAGTACCCACCGACAGCTTCGTCAGCTTCCAGTGCCATTCATTCGTCATATAGGGTGCGATTTCTTAGCCGCTGCCGCTCTAAGTATAGGCGGCCATTATGAAAGCGATGGCCTTTGGGGTCAGAAAGCGCAAAAAAAATACTTTCTGGCGTTCGCTCTGCTCTCGGTGTATGTGATAGGCCCACACAAGTAAGCATGTAAGGGCAACGCACTAGCGGGAAGAGCAACTTTATACAGTGAAATACCGCAATCACGACATGATGCTTTACACGAAAGTCGACATGTCTGTTGCGCTTGGTGGTGGGCAAGCTGGCTGCTCAAATCAGGCACGGCTAGTTGGTTGTAAGCTGGACATCGTCATGAGCTCTACGGCGGGATGTCACAGCACTATGCGCTGTAGGTCAAGTGCACTGACTTCGTATCTAGTACAGAGAGAAGACGAAGCGTGGAGAGCTCCTCATAGGTAAAAGTCTAGGCCCGAATTCATTAGATCAGGGCTCTTAGAGTTACTGCGTCAGCTCGATCCGGAGAAGCATTGGCACCCTCACCAAGCATTTCGTAAGAGTGTCGATAGCAAAAACCTTGCCTTTTTTTTTAGGGATGCTGAGTCATTTAATAAAGTGTACGATACAGGTCACCAGTGTTTAAATGCACTGAGAAGCACGGACGATTAAGTGCAGAGCGTGGATCTGGGCTCTTAGCGCGGTGGATGCATGTTGTAACTTACTCTCATGCGGTGTCTAAGAAGACAGCTGAAGTAGTAGTCCCAATGTGATCCACGTTGGGACTTGGTAAAGACTATTCTATTCCATACACATAGCCTTCTTTTCTGTACAGTTGTATAATAACATTTATACATTCTACGACATTTACATCGCTTTTTCAAAGTATACCTTAGTACCGTAGTATTGGAATCTAAAAAGATGATTTTTCGGAGACCATGGTACACGTGAGATGCTGGTCGCACATGGGGAACTAAAGGTAGCTGAATTATGACATGATGCAAACGTTATGACTTAGTATTAACTGGAATAGAGATAAATCCTAATCTATGGCGCTTCTGAAAATCTAATATAATGCGACCTTAGGTGCTCTCCTACCCGGTCCTGGGTAAAGCGTGTAGCTCCAGCAAATGCGCTTTTATGAGGGTTAACTCTTAAGGTCAAAGTTTGATTCGTGCTGAGAGCACAGCAACATCGGGGCAAAGAGTATCACTTTGCAAATGTTCGCACAGCCTAACCAAGTTCACCACAAGCGGTCTTTTCTGCCCGGTAAGGAAAAACAGAACTGAAACACTACGCACAAAAGTGGAGAGTTCTCGTTACAGGGATGTCGACTCGCCCTCTTATGACAATGGTGTCGACCCTCATTTATATCAAGGGTCTCCAAGTAGGCGCCACTTGCACCGACACGTTCCATTGGCATCTATAACCTGGTGAGTATCATGCTATAAAAGAAACACAACATTAAAGCTGCGAGGGATGGTCGAGACTCGAGAGGTGGCAAGCCTTATGAGAGCATCAGGATCCGTGGAACTCAGCTTAGATGATGTTATATCGTATTGCAGGACGTGAAAATGTAAAATTTGCAAGAGAACGAATATTACGCTCTGCGTCATCTTCTCTTTTGGTTGACAGGTACGAAGAGTCGGGGTGTCATGATGACCTCTTCCGATAAAGCCTTAAGTCTTAGTAGACCAGATCTGCCATCTCAAACTGTTTTTGTGTACTTTTTGGGGTTGAGGTCGATGGGCCCAGTCATAAGAGAGCGACTCTCTACTACAGATATCTAAAATATTTCGTTGCTAAAACTGATGTTTCAGGCTTTACAAGGTTGTATTAGTCGATATAACTTGCCTGGCCGAAATGCGATTGGCCGGAAGTCGAAAAAGCTAAAGCCTCACATTTTCATCAGTAGAGTGTCAAAAATGCATCATTTCAGCTTGAATGGATTTGTCAGAATAACGAATGACTTTGGCTCCAAAGATTTCGGTACAGCTCTGAAGACAAGCCACAATGATCCTCCGTCTCTCGAGCATATATCTGAGGAGAAGGAACTGGCCGCCGTAAGCTTGCGGCGTCAGATATTATTTTGTGTCAGGCGGATAAGAGCGGCATTTTCTTTTGGTCCCGAGGGATTGATCCCGTGAACACAAATGAAAAGTAGCTTGTTACTCGCAATATTTAAGACGTAATCCTGTTAGGTAGGTGACAGTTAGTCGCGAGTGGAGGGGTCAGGCTCTCATGCTATTACAAATGGTGTATCCTTGTTACGAACAAGCGGTAGTGTTAACGCAGTACTACCGTGTGATGCACTCTTCGTGTGAGGCACTAAGAAATTACGAATTTATGGTGAGAGGGATCTTTCATTCGTGAATGGAATGACCGAAATAATGTTTCATTAAGCTTGATAACTCATTCTAAGTCGATGTCTTTTAAACTTAGACAAAATGAAATCGCCTCAATTGCTCGCATAGTACCGGAGGAGGATCTGAGATCATCGCCCAACAGAAACTAGTCTACTATTTGAGATTTCTTCGGAGCATGAATGTCAAAAGTGGGACAACCATTCTCAAGGACCCTACAGATTCCATTTTTCTGATGAAGAATTATTTTCTCTCAAGGTACTGAAAGGCCCATCACAGGCGTTGTCCCCAAACAAGAAGGTGCAACATGGATTGATCAAATTTTCTGAGTGTGCCACGTGGTGGACGGTTCTTACAAAACAACATTGAGATATCATGGATGCTTGTTTTCGTATAAAGCAGTTGGCGTGTTTGCCAAGAGAGATTAAATACATTACTCGGCGTCAACACCTACGTCGGAAAGGAGTCACAGATTGTGCATGCTTGCAAAAAGCTTGATGTCCTTACCATCTCAATCCAATGACAATTTCTAAAGAGGACGAGTTGCAGAACAGCAATTTCGGTTGCACCTTCCGCAGTGATTTCGGCATTTTCTATGGTTATTATTATCCACTTATAGAATAACAGTCCGCTTGCTATCCCAAGTACCCGTAGTAGGATGCTCTGGAGTGGTTAAATCTATTGTCAGATGCTGCCGAATGCGCCTAGGGCGTTCGTCCGTCGGGTGACGTAGCTTTTTAGGCCACAAAATTTATGCACATACTTTTTCACCGATTCACTTGTCCATATTCTCGAGGAGCCTCAAGAGCCCAATCGAACATTCACATCAAAAATTAATAAGCACCGCTGAAGTGTATGCATTTATGCATGCTGCTTGCTGGCGTAGATAACTTTGGCTTTGGCACCGACAGAAACTTGATTACGAAATACTTCGCCGAGAAGCGTTGTCAAGAGTTAGATCCCGCAAAGACAAAGCCATTGTATGGTGATCAATGCTTCAGACCTAGATGAACGAACGGAAGTGACTTGGCCTGACCAGCTATTTGCACAAGTATAGTACACTTTATGTCGACATGACATGGCCTTTCACCAATCATCTTAAACAAGATGCCAAATGGTGCTAGGGTGTGTCAAGAGAGGCATCCTTCAAAGCTGTGAGCGGAATTTTGATGCGTGCCCCAAATCTGGTATTTCATCTGTGATGCTTCGAATCTTGCCATAGACGCACTTTCCGATCAAGTGACGATAGGCTTAAGAGAGTCATCACGTTTCAATCCCGGCAGATTTTATATCTTGTTGCTACTAGTTATAATCAACTTACAACTAGTAGCAACAAGATATGAAATCTGTTTTCCTCAATTTTTCTTGAGTTCGACCCTTTCATTAATAGTTAGACCATTTAACATTGCGCATGGCGATAGTGTCACCACATTCTTGCAAAGATTGACAAGATTATTATCCTACTTTCGAGAAAAGGTATAAGCGGATCGGCATAATTACGTGGTGGATGCTCTTTCGCTACGCCTCGACTACAAACTGTGTCTTATCAGGGCAATGCGATACGTAGAGCGTAAAGTACAGACACAACATGCTGAAAGCCATGGAAGAGTGGAGTTCGGCTGCCCTTTATTGAATCGTATGGTCAGAATTTGCACTGTTGTGTCTCATCTATGGCGTGACAGCTTACAGCACTGGCTTGATCTGCACGTAACGTGTGGTGAGCCTTATGACGAGAACCTCTGATAAGAAATGCTGGAGTAGGTACATGATATCCTTTAAGTGCACACTTTGCACTATGTACTGGTGACTTAACTTATAATAATATGGATGATTAAATGTGTTCACTTGTAGAGGTGGTAGCGACTTAAATCCTCGCGTATGTGTATTCGCTCTGGTCGGCCTGCCAGCTTTGAAACAGTTTTGATATTCTGTAAGTATTGAGTTTTCCTTTAGTCACGTCCGGTGCATCGGCATTGTTGTTTTTGTAAAGCATCCTAGCAAAATGGCTTAAATTACGGCTGTCATCAACGACGTTGCCGGTGAGGAGACAGCTGAGCTGTTCCCTAACAAATTCGTCATGGCTTGCCAGCCGCAAGTGTGTCGGATGAAGAAGTGTGGTGCTGGCGGCCTTTGCTTATGGTTGTTGAAACTCGATAGCTACATACCAATCGTGATAGAATGGTCTACAGAACGTATGGCGAATGATTCTCTCCGAATCACTTGCCTGAATTATCGCGATGCGTGAACAGCATTATCATACTTATACATTTTGCATAAATGTGCCTCATCAGGATTCAGACCATTCCTTACAAATGTTTTGGCTACTCCTCGCGTCGCTTTGGCTCATTCAAGATGTGGATTTACTGTTGACTGTGGATTTGTTCGACTTGTCCATATCAGCGCAGCCATACTGCGAGGCAAAAGTAAATCGAAAAGAGAATGAGTTTCATGCATCAAATGCACGACACTATGGCAGATATGTAGCAGCAACAATTGTTTAAAGACAGACGAAACATACCTGAAGTTGGTTGAGCTCAATCTCTTATAGATGCTTCGAATCTATTTACAAATGAAGTATCTGAAGTCTTTAAGCTCTTTCAGCCCCCGCCTTTGAAGTTTACAGTTGTAATTAGAAAAGGGGCAAGATTTTACCTAATAAACCATAAAGGATCCGAACATCTCGTGTTTTACGTGAGCTTACTTTGCCATACCACAATCTCGCGCAAGGAAGCTCTCGGATGCGAAGTATTCGATCAAAGACGATTCAACGTCTCAATAGTCCCCTGTTCTTGAGCTTCGTTTTGCTCCTGAGCAGCGATCCAATTATATGCAGCTTGGGTCGCCCTGATTATCGGGATTTACGGAGAGAGTTGACGTCCGTCGCCTAATCAAGTTTGTAGGGTCTTGTATTTAGAATTGCGATAATTTCATCGGAACATTTGAACAATCAATTAGAAATCGAAATATTGCCAAACTCCTAAACAATTTTTCTGGAAGAATTAGATAAGAATGTTTTGAAAATGTTGATGGACATTTTAAGAACGAAAATAGACTAAGCTCGCCAGTCAATGAACGTCGTGCAGAGGTGCATCAGCTGGTTTGATCGGTACGACTCCACAAAGCTCGTCTCACGCCCGATAACGAGATGCGAAAGGCCATTGAGAAATTCAGGCTCCAGCTCCAGCGGCGTCACCGATGAGACATCAGTCGTCGACTCGCGCTCCTGCGCATAAGACAAAAGCGACCGCAATTGAACTGCATGAGTAGCCAAAGAGACAACCATCGATGACACGCATGTCTGCGCCAGAACATTTTTCTTGCCAGTATTTGTGGCCGAAGCATTCTGTGCGCTAGAAAGCTGCTGCGAGAGCAGGAGCACACGCTGTAGAAATTGATCTTCGTGGCCAGCTTTAAGTCCCTTTTGCAGTTCAAGACGAAGATACTCTAGCAGTAGACCACCTCCAATCGTATCCACTGTTTCACAACTTTTCCACTGAGAGATGTATACAGCCATAGGTTCAAGCTCTTCAAGCAACTGGAGCAGTACGTCCTTTTCGTTTGTAAAAAGACAGTGCATTGCGACGTGACCAATCAAACACGCGTGAGCTTCTTCGTATCGATTGGCTGCAATCCAATGGGCAATTTCCTCATGTCGCTCCTGCTTTGCAGCTGCTCGTACCGCCAAAGCTTCACTGATCCACTCTGTTGGAAGGCTTAAGCGCTCACAAAGCTGCTTTCGTTTCGATACGTCCAAATCTAACACATCTGCATTGCGAAATAGCAGCTCACGGCAGGTACTTTCACGCTCGAGAACATCTGAAATGTTGAGAGCGACGTAGACTGCGTCCTCCCATAAGCCAACGCCCTCTAATTGCCGAATAAAGTTCTGGTGAATATGCGATTCCCACTCACGATCCAGTTTGTAGCCGATTGCACGCAAAACGCTGTGCAGATGCCACGTCAGCTCATAGTCCAGGTAGCCATTCTTCTGACTTGTAAAGCCACTCGGTGACAACACTGTGCGAAGTGATGCAGCATCTTCGATATAAAGCTTCAAAAGTTCCATCAGAATGTCATCCTTGTCTGTACCAGCAACAGCAAACTGAGAACGAGAGCTTGAAGCTTGTTGCTTTTGGACTGCGTTCTTGTAAAGTGTCATGGCAGACTTCAAAGACGTTGCCGGTCCACTCTTATACCACAAAAATAGTGCAAGGCACATTATCCAGGATAAGCTCGCACCTTTATGTGTCGTTAGTACCTCAACACTACCTGCCATGACACTGTAGATCAGAACCAAAGTTTTGTCCATAAACTCAAGCGAGCCGTTTTCGGTCCATTGGGCCATTTGTGTTTCCATTAAACGACGAAAAACATCGCCTTCGTAAGAGGCAGTCTGAGCAATTAGCGTTGCCAAGCGAATGTTACCACAATCTACAGCCATCTCGGATGCTTCCAATATGCGGTGCTGGCACAGAAGATTCAAAACGCCTTCTAGACTTGCAGTAGAGTTGTTCGTCGCACCGGTTTCGGTAACAAGCAGAGCAGACTCGAACCACTGCGAAATGGCCTCTCGACGAATTTCAATACTTTGCGAGGACTTCATCGTCTCTAATTCATTAGGGCAATCCTGTGACGCGAGAGGACAGAGTGCAGAATCATGTCGGTCATCCATCTGAGCGCCGTATTCTTGACCCCATAAAGCCTGAACTAATTTCCAAAGTAGCAGAGTGTGCTTTTCGCTTGGTATTTTTTGAGCTCGCGATTCGTAATGGGCGACATATTTGTGCAAACAACTCATCAGCGGGCCCTGAGCTTGAATTGCATACTGAGCAGGAACTTCGTATCCATCTCGTTCAATATATATGTCGGGGTCCCGTCCCTGCGAAGTGAATTCATAGTGCAGTCGAAGTCCATCTTGAAGATCCGACCTACGCGTTTCGGAAAAACGAAGGGGAAATTCGATGCAAACGCGTTGTCCCTGGTTTGATAGACTCAAACAATTCTCAGCGTGTGTAGTAAGTTTTCCCAGGTTTACCAGCTCGCCATTCGGTCCCCATGAACAACGAAACGATCGAGCCATTAACATACCACCGTCGATATGATTTCGCACAACATCATTTTGTTCCCGCTTCAGCGCATGCACCATCATCTGGTACGTTGGTGATTTGTCCTCTGCTTTCTGAGTGCTGTTTACGTCGAGCGGCTTTAGTCTGTACGGGACCACAGGAAATACCTCACAGGTATGATACTGATCTTCCTTCGTCGTTGACACCTCCTCAAAATTACATTCGAAGTGAGATTCGGTATTTTCTAAGGCAGTAGACCTTATAACCAGCTTGTTGTTATCGGTAAAAGAATTCTGGCTGTCCGCAAACGATGCGACAACACTATTGCTGTTGATGTGATTAGTAAAGATGCCAGACTGACGACAAAGCTTACTACGTTCGGCCGTAGAGGTCTTGTTAAGTCGAATTTCCACAGGTCTACGAGTCATCTCAGGCTTTTGTGGCGCATTGGAAATGTGCTGAAGCTTTGCATCATGACCACTCATATCGACGTCGTCATCAGCGTCATCGTCTTGAAGACCATACCGACTAAAGTGCTCGACACGAAACCGCCAAATACCATTTTCTACCGAGTAGTCGAGAAATGTCGCTCCGATATCGTGAGTTCGTTGCTTCACACGCTCTTTATAATTTTCGGGAGAAGTAGATTTACGCGGCGGAAAGATACCCAAAAGTTCAACAATAGCAGGCTTGTTAAGACCCTTCCCTAGAGCGTGTTTCTTGTCTTCGTCTTTGTAAACAATAACCTCTTTTCTCTCGAAACAAATTAATTCATCAAGGTCGAGATCACGTACGTCAGTCTTGCCAATCCATTCAACAGCTCCTAACCCCCGACAACCTATAGTAAATTGCTCTACTTCAGATAGCTCGTCGTCTGTCATAGCTTGAAGTCGTTCGTATGATGGTTTGGTATAATAGTCCTTATTTTTTAAAGTTGGGCACGATGGTGATAAAGGTGAAGCGCCATTCGATTCGATTTCCTTAAAGACATCGGCTTCATCACGACTGGCAGCGGCCAAATACTCGTCATACGTCATAAAGCGTTTTGCTGGAGCAACTTCTTCACTAGAGGAGATATCAGCCGTTTTATCGAGAGAGGAAAGCAAACTATGTTGGTCTTTAGATATGTCATCTTTCACGACCCGATCTTCTATCACAATAACGTCAATTGTATCCCCCTCCTTCAGCTGAAGCTCTTCTAAGACGCTCCTATCGTGCAAAACTTTTCCCTTCAGTACTAGTTCGATATCGACAATCGAGGGCACTGCAGATCCACAGCTCTCACGTAACAATTGCTTCACTTCTGTTCTGGCTTGCTTTACCGTTTGATTTGGATACAACCTTAGCGAAAAAAGGTTTTTGTTAATCTGGTTGCAAAAGCTGATACCATACTTGCCGTCATCACCAGGCTTCATTCTTTGAGAGTGACTGCTTCTGATTTCGCGAATGTCGACACGATCGCCATCTGATATTGGCACAATGGATACACGAGTGGTTGGTTCGCAGTCTCGCTTTGAAGACAGCTCACCTTTATCAATCACAAGCTTCTTCGTCATCGGATTGCGGAACAAAGATGACGTAAACTTAAAGTCATTATACTTTGTACTGCTATCACCATTTGAATCTGTTTCGGGTCGAAGAGCGCTGAAAGAAGTCGAAGTTAATGCCGGAAATGTAAACGTCGGTGACCGGCTTTTAGACCCTTTAAATGATCCTCGAATGAATGACACCGGAATGGCATGGCGGTTATGGAGAGTTCGGCGTCGCGTTGTCAAAGGTGGATCCAATGGACCCCTTGGAAGACCAACATCATCCGCAAAAGAGGTTAGACGAGAGGCATTGGAGCCTAATTTCAGCGATTGAAGATCCAGCGCAGCCTTCACATTCTGCTCGACGAGTCCAGCTCCGAAAGAGCCAGCGCCATAAGGATTAATATCAGGAGCTGCTACCAAGTTCTGTGGAGGCGCAGAAATTGGTTGAGCTGGCTGTTGCGACTGTCCAAACAAACTACTCGTCGTTCCAAAACCTCCTCCTTGAGTAGCAGGAGTCGCAGTAGTACCAAAACCACCAAAACTCCCAGTGCCTGTGCTTCCAAAACTACTACCAGTGCCAAAACCGAACCCAGTAGCTCCAGTGTTTGAAGTGTTCGCTCCTCCAAACAGAGAAGAACCTCCTGTACCGGAAGTGTTTCCAAAAAATCCCCCAGTGGGAGCCGTTGTCGATCCGAAAATGCCGGTTGAGGCAGGCTTATTCGTTCCAAATAAGCTTGTTGTTCCTCCAGTTGCGGCAGATGGCGTATTGCCGAAATTAAAGCCGCTAGTTGACCCATTTGCTCCAGTGGTAGATCCAAAGAGAGACGATGTACCTGTTGTCGGTTGTGCAGGTGTGATCCCGAAAGCACTTGGTGCCGCAGAAGCTCCGAAAGCACTTCCTGTGTTTCCGCCAGTAAAGCCAAAACCAAAACCTCCGGTAGCTGCTGGCTTCGACGCGTTAGCACCAAACGAAAATCCTGAACTCGCGGGTGCCGCGTTGCTAGCTCCACTAAAAAATGACGAATTTACTCCTGCTTGGGGTTGCGTAGCTCCAAATCCGAATCCTCCCGGAGCTGGAGTGGCAGCAGCGGTTGCGGTCGATCCAAAGCTTCCAAACCCAGATGACACTGCCGGTTTTCCAAATGCAGAGTTACCAAAGCCAGACGAAGCCGCTGGCGTGTTACCGAACCCTCCAAATCCACCTGTCTGCGCCGGTGCTGCCGCACCAAAACTGCTACCGAAGCCACCGCTAGAAGCCGGCGCTCCAAAGGCCGAGGTAGAGCCCGGCGCAGAACCGAATGCACTGCTTGTAGTTGGAGCTCCAAATGCACTGTTTGTTGCTGGAGCACCAAATGCACTTGTTGCAGGCTGAGCTGTAGCTCCAAAAAAACCACCGCTTGTTGCGGGTGCTGCTGGTTGCGATCCAAATCCACCAAATCCACCAGTCGGTGCTGAAGTTACTGTAGAATTGAAAGCAGAAGTGTTAAAGCCTCCAGACGAGCCAGTGGACGGTGCACCAAATGCTGATGACTGAGTGCCAAAACTTGGAGTGGAGCCAAAGGCCGAGGTAGTAGATGGCTGCGCACCGAATCCACTAAATGCTCCTGTACCAGCTGTGATCATACCAGGTGTTGGAGCGTTCTGTGTTGCTGCTGCCTGGGCTGCGGCAGGATTCGTACGCTTCAAATAGTCTTCATACCGTAACTCCTCAGTTGACTTGTGCGAGTAAGCTGGCATGCGAGAGATTGATATATAATTAGCGGTACCACCTGTTCCAGACGGATCCATCTCTCGCGTAGGCTGATAAGGCGGCTGACCTGTACCAACCTGTACCTGTCCGCTTACCGAGCCAGGTACTGACTGCGATCCAAAACCTCCAAAAGCTGAAGTAGTCGTTGCCCGAGCACCAAATCCTCCAGGTGTGGTTACCGATGGCCCTCCAAATGGACTTTTTGCCGCAGAAGCCCCAAATCCACCCGTCGTACTACCAAACATGCCACTACTTGCTGATGAAGGAGTCCCGAATCCTCCCGTCGTGGCACCTCCACCAAAAGCACTGGTGGTACCTGCAGTACCACCAAATGCGCTAGTGGCTCCAAATGGACTGGAGCTTGCAACTGGTTTAGCGCCGAATGGAGTGCTAGCTCCAAAAGCTGATGTACCTGTGGATCCAAATCCACCAGAGTTTACACCTCCCCCAAACGCCGAAGAGGCTGGAAAGCCTGACGTCGTCGTAGGATTTGCCCCAGTTCCAAAGCCCGTAGAAGGTGTCGTAGCAGCTCCAAATCCACCAAAACCGGTCGTGTTCGTCTGCTGCGCACCAAAAGCGCCACCAGTGGATGGTGCTGCCGTTCCAAAGCCTCCAAAGGCTGGTTTAGCTGCGCCAGCGCCAAATGTTGACGCGCCAGCCCCAAATCCGCCGGTCGTAGCACCTCCACCAAAAGGAGAAGCAGCTGCTGAGTTACCAAATCCACCACTAGTTCCGCTAGATCCAAAGCCTCCAAAGCCACCGCTTGGGGCGGCGTTTGAGTTGCCAAATCCGCCGAAGGACATGGAGACTTCTTCCTTCTATTTCCCGCTCAAGTTGTGTGGTTTGGTAAAATCAAATATACATATATTCATGTGGTACACATCGTACTCAAATTTGCTAACTAATAATAATTTCCTACCGATAATCAAGAAGAATAAGGTGCATCTTTTTCAGATCGCGTCGAATCACAACCTTGCCGGGTACGCGCTGCGAGAACTTGATATCATCAAAGTTATTTGGCACTTTTAGAATAATACACTTGGTGTGATCTTGTAGTCGTATGCAAATCTCATGAAGGGGTAAGCCTCCTAGAAAGAGATCCACTTTTTCAAGATCCTTGTATTCAGGTCCTCCCCAAGGTGGATCCAGAAAAATCACATCTTGTTCAAGTTGCATCATCACATCCAAGTAATTGGCGTGAATACACTTTACGTTTGTCTTTTGAAGGACCTGAAGATTATGTTGCAGCATTTGCACGCGGGTCGCATCATTTTCAATAGCATTTACTCGTGTGAAATAGTCACAAAAAGATAACACATTTCCTCCCACACATGCCGTGCCGTCCGTTACGGTGAGTGGGTATTTTTTGCGCTCTTCAATTGTCAGCTTGATATCGTCATGATCTTCAAAGTTGCTCGTGGACACAGTGTCTTCTTTAGAAGATGCAAATAGTTCTAAGACAAACTGAGAAATCTTGGTGGCCATCTCGTAGTCTGTCACGCTAAATGCAGCGACCTCATCTACTTGCAACTGGCTCCGAAGTCCATAGTTTAAGTTACGAAAAAAAAAGTCTCGTTTATCACCACACTTACGTGTTCGAGGTGATCCACGAGTGTCCGAACCAGACCGTGGTGATTGAGGTGACTCTTGTCTTGAAATTGAGCGCTTTGTCGTATCACTGCCATTTTCTGTGTGTCTACGTGGACTAGAATCTGCGCTTGCGTTGTTAGAATGCATTTTAGCACGGTTATGGTTGACAATCATGGATGAAGAGCTCTTCGTTTTTCTTATGCTGCGGTCAGGTAAAGACCTGGCTTCCATAAAGTTATGGTAGCCACATGCTTTTCGTCCTTTATGTGTTGCGATTGTGGTTTCGTGTAGTCTATCAGCCAGCTTCTGCAAGCTACTGCGTCGTGTAAACATAACTTCTCCTAGCAATGTCGGGTGTGGAACACCTTCCATTATATCTTTCTGTTTTTCATCCCGTCGTGACAAACTATTCTGTCGCCTCTTCATTTGATATCTTTTCTTTCTTCTCACTCTTTCGGTAGTTTTCATCTCGTCTTGACTTAAAGTGCACTCGGTGTTGACCGTACCAAAGACCGATAAATTGTCGAGATGGTCGATATCATAAGAGGATGAACATAAGGGCTGCGAAAGAGAAGTGTCAATGGCTGCTCGAGTCTGCTGGTAGTCGCGGGGTCCTTGAGAAACTACTGTTTTCCAAACACCCTCTTCCACAATTACGTGATCGTTAGGCCTGGGTCCTCTGGCTAGCTCAATCTCACGTCTCACTTTCTCCTCTTGCATCTGCTGCATTTGTCGAACGCGCTGCATTTGTCGCTCCCTATGCATCCTCTTAGCCTCCATCTCTGCCATGTGCTTGGATGCAAAACCACTCGCCGGTCGCCACAAGCGCACGTTGTCGAGGCTGCTACTACGCTGACGTAGTCCATGATATCCTACTTGTACCCCATGCGTCACAACTATTTGAGCTTCCATTGACATCGGTTGAGACGTGCACGTCGAAAAGTGGTCAGCGTCTTGCATTGAAACCCACAAACTGAAATGCACATAGTTTGACCCTTTGCAAAGTCTGGACTGTGCGAAATTTATTCATGATTTCGGGCACGAAAAAAGGACCCAATATTAAAAATTCGAGACATAGGTAGACGCATACTTTGAGGTGACACTCAGAAGCAAGAGTATGCTAAGTAGCATAGTGGACACAAACGAATTTATGCTCAGATCACAGACCATCGTCATACTGAGATGCATCACTTTTAGGCTACTCGAACTAGTTCAATGGCGTTAATATATGGTAGTGTTGCTGCATTGTTGAGGCGAGAACGAATCGTACTATAAGTGGAGATCAGGATGCTCAAACAATCGGTAAGTATCGTTAAATTCTCATCTAAAGGCAGCTTCCTACTCGTTCCTGTCAAGATTGTCGACGTAATTTACAACATCATATGGAAGATCACACAAACGTAACACTTAAGACGAGTTCGAAATTAGTGATACCCTATTTTGAGAGAGAGTATTACTAGCGTTTTATGAATTAGCGAATATGAGTTGTGAGCCTTAAATTTTATAAATACGTTCTAATCCCAGAATTTTCAAGTTTCTGTCTGCAACTTGCTGCGTAGACCAAACGTAGCATCAATAGTCTCTTCCAAGTCTTTTTCCAAACTATTGGTAATGTGAGATGTACTATATTGCTGAAAAATGACTTGTGGTAGCTAGCGCGCCTCAGAACGCATGTTGACAGACAGATGACTTCAAAGAAGTAGGAACATGGTGACGGTCGGGTGGACAGTCATCACAGTTGTCCCGACGAAATTACACAAAACGTACACGGTAATCTAACTTGACTGTACAAAGACCTAACATTCGAATAAATGACCGAAATATAAATACGCATGATTGCACCCCCTCCGCTGCACCGCAGCCCCAAATTGCCACCTTTGAACCACATTTTAGCATCGCCGTCGTCCTCAAAATGAGGTTTTCGCGCACCATGCACAGAAGAGACTTTGACTGATGGAGTCTTTGCAACGAGATTATCGTGCAATTTACACAGAAAGCTCTGACTATCGGAGTCTGCGTTGACAAGCACACAAAGGTCGAATTCATGCGCTCGTACCAGGAGTAGAGCTTCTACCAAAACAAGTATCCAGTTAGCTCTGCTGATTTCTAAGGATATATTTAATGGGATCATTACTATTAACCTAAGCTCAACCTGCGGCGGAGCTACCGAAGCTCTTTGCTTAGAGGAAGCTAAGCTAAGGTCACCAACCTTACGTTCTTTCCAAGAACCAGTACTAGTGTAGCGGATCGCAATCCGCTACTT